TGTCAATGGACTCAATGCTCCAATCAAAAGACAGAGGGTAACAGAATGGATAAGAAAACAAGATCCATCTATATGCTGTTTACAAGAGACCCACTTTAGACCTAAAGACACCTTCAGATTGAAAATAAGGGGATGGAGAACCATCTATCATGCTAATGGTCAACAAAAGAAAGCCGGAATAGCTATACTTATATCAGACAATCTAGACTTTAAAATAAAGACTGTATCAAGAGATGCAGAAGAGCATTATATCATAATCAAGGGGTCTACCCACCAAGAAAACCTAACAACTGTAAACATTTATGCACCAAATGTGGGACACCCAAATATATAAATCAATTAATCACAAACATAAAGAAACTCATCGATAGTAATACCATAATAGTAGGAGACTTTAACACCCCACTCACAACAATGGACAGATCATCTAATCAAAAAATCAACAAGGAAACAATGGCTTTGAATGACACACTGGATCAAATGGACTTAACAGATATATTCAGAACATTTCATCCTAAAGCAGCAGAATATACATTCTTCTCCAGTGCACATGGAACGTTCTCCAGAATATACCATATACTAGGACACAAATCAGCCCTAAGTAAGTACAAAACGATCGAGATCATGCCGTGCATATTTTCAGACCACAACATCATGAAACTTGAAATCAACCACAAGAAAAAATTTGGAAAAGTAACAAATACTTGGAGACTGAAGAACATCCTATTTAAGAATGAATGGGCTAACCAAGCAGTTAAAGAGGAAATTAAAAAGTATATGGAAGTCAATGAACATGATAACACCACAACCCCAAACCTCTGGGACACAGCAAAGGCAGTCATAAGAGGAAAGTATACAGCAATCCAGGCCTTCCTAAAGAAGGGAGAAAGATCTCAGATACACAACCTAACCTTATGCATTAAGGAGCTGGAAAAACAACAGCGAATAAAACCCAAAACCAGAATACAGGAAATTAAAAAGATTAGAGCAGAAATTAATGCTATTGAAACCAAAAAAACAGTAGAACAGATCAATGAAACCAGAAGCTGGTTCTTTGAAAGAATTAACAAGATTGATAAACCACTAGCCAATTTGATCAAAAAGAAAAAGGAAAAGACCCAAATAAATAAAATCAAGAATGAAAGAGGAGAGATCACAACCAATACAACAGATATAAAAATAATAATAAGAGAATATTATGAGCAATTATATGCCAATAAAATGGGTAATCTGGAAGAAATGGACAAATTCCTAGAAACATATACACTATCAAAACTGAAACAGGAAGAAATAAAAAATTTGAACAGACCCATAACCAGTAAGGAAATTGAATTAGTAATCAAAAACCTCCCAAAAAACAAGAGTGCAGGGCCAGATGGCTTTCCAGGGGAATTCTACCAAACATTTAAGGAAGAGTTAACACCTATTCTCTTGAAACTGTTCCAAAAAATAGAAAAGGAAGGAAAACTTCCAAACTCTTTCTATGAAGCCAGCATTACCTTGATTTCAAAACCAGACAGAGACCCCACTAGAAAGGAGAACTATAGACCAATTTCCCGGATGAACATGGATGCAAAGATCCTCAACAAGATATTAGCCAACTGGATCCAACAATACATTAAAAAAATTATTCACCATGACCAAGTGGCATTTATACCTGGGATGCAGGGCTGGTTCAGTATCCACAAAACAATTAACGTGATTCATCACATCAATAAAAGAAAGCACAAGAACCGTATGATCCTCTCAATAGATGCAGAGAAAGCATTTGACAAAATACAGCATCTTTTCTTGATAAAAACCCTCAAGAAAGTAAGGCTAGAAGGAGCATACCTTGAGATCATAAAAGCCGTATATGAACAACCCACGCTAATATCCTCCTCAATGGGGAAAAACTGAGAGCTTTCCCCCTAAGGTCAGGAACAAGACGGGCATGTCTACTCTCACCACTGTTATTTAACACAGTATTGGAAGTCTTAACCTCTGCAATCAGACAATACAAAGAAATAAAAGACATCCAAATCAGCCAGGAGGAGGTCAAACTTTCACTCTTCGCAGATGACATGATACTGTATATGGAAAACCCTAAAGATTCCACCAAAAAGCTGCTAGAACTGATTCATGAATTCAGCAAAGTTGCAGGATATAAAATCAATGCACAGAAATCGGTTGCATTCCTATACACCAACAATGAAGTGACAGAGAAATCAAGGAATCGATCCCATTTACAGTTGCACCAAAACCCATAAAATACCTAGGAATAAATCTAACCAAAGAGGTGAAAAATTTATACACTGAAAACTATGGAAAGCTTAGGAAAGAAATTGAAGAAGACACAAAAAAATGGAAAAAGATTCCATGCTCCTGGATAGAAGAACAAATATTGTTAAAATGTTGATACTACCCAAAGCAATCTATATATTCAATGCAATTCCTATCAAAGTAACACCAGTATTCTTCACAGAGCTAGAACAAATAATCCTAAATTTGTATGGAACCAGAAAAGACCCTGAATAGCCAAAGCGATGTTGAAAAAGAAAACCAAAGCAGGAGGTATCACAATCCCAGACTTCAATTCCCAGATTACAAAGCTATAATCATCAAGACAGTATGGTACTGGCACAAGAACAGACACTCAGATCAATGGAACAGAATAGAGAACCCAGAAATGGGCCCACAAACGTATGGCCAACTAATCTTGGACAAAGCAGGAAAGAATATCCAATGGAATAGTCACTTCAGCAAGTGGTGTTGGGAAAACTGGACAGTGACATGCAGAAGAATGAACCTGGACCACTTTCTTACACCATACACAAAAATAAACTCAAAATGGATGAAAGACCTCAATGTAAGACAGGAAGCCATCAAAATCCTAGAGGAGAAAGCAAGCAAAAACCTAAGGCACTAAGGAATCTACTCCTGAAATCATTGTTGCATGTATGCTAACTAATTTGGACATAAATTTTAAAAAATTAAAAAATAAAATTAAAAAATAAATAAAAACAAAAGAGAATCACCTGGGTAGGCTCAGTTGGTTAAGCGTCTGACCCTTGATTTCGACCCCAGGTCATGATCTCACGATTCATGAGATCAAGCCCTGCGTTGCACAGAGCCTGCTTGGGATTCTGTCTCTTCCTGTCTCTCTTCCCCTCCCCTGCTTGTGTGCTCTCTCTCTCTCTCTCCCTCTCTCTCAAAATAAATAAATAAGCTTTAAAGAAAAAAAAAAAAGACTTAAAAGACCAAGCACAAAGTGTGACTTTCTTTATATCCCAATTCAAACCAACTTAGGAAATGACATCATGAAATAATTGAAAATCTTCTGACTGAATATTTGATATGAAGACATCAGTGTTAGCTTTTAAGATATGAGATGGTTATGTTACAAAATAGTTACCTTGTGGAGATATAGAAAATATTCATAGATAAAATTATATGTCTGTGATTTGTGTCAAAATACTCATGGAGAAGTGGACGAGAAGTAGATAAGGCAGGTTTGGCTCCAGGTTAAAGTTTGAGGGCTCGGTGAAGGGTACCTAGAAGTACATCATACTATTTTGTTTTCTTGTGTGTGTGTGTGTGTGTGTGCATGCTCAAAATTTTCTATAATAAGTACTGATATATTCCATCTGATTGTCAAACCCCACGGACATAACTCATATCAGATACCAAGACTCTCATATTGATGACAAAATCTACTGTATGGTTGTAGGGCCTGTCTTCAGAGTTAAAGTCCTTTTTATTGTTAAATATCAACAAGTGAAATAATTTCATTATTTCTATTGCTAACATTAAAACTTGTGTGTAAATTGTATAAAACTATGTACTTTTCTTAGTAAAAAAAAAATGGAATGCTTTCTAATTGTTTATTCTATTAATCATGCCCAAATATTCCAAGTATAGTAAATATATGTTTTAAAAAGATCAAGTAGCATTTATAATAAAGGAGGCATTGCTATTCCTGGCATTAATGTAATGGTGATATGAAAAACTGTCATCTGTCTTGTCATTTAATAATAAAATGATTGGCATTATGGAATATTTATGAGCCCCCCCCTCCCAAATTTATTTTCTGAATGAGACCCGTACTTTATTCACATACTAGGAATAAGCCAGTACAAAATACATTTTTAAAATATTCACTTGTTGCTAAAATTCTTGCTGCCCCACCCCCACCCCAATGCCACCGATCTGTAGTGTTCTCCCCCCAGCCCCTGGGTTGACCTGGGTTTTCTGGACCTCCTGCAAGAGTTCAAGCAGGGGTCATCAGCCCCAAGAGCAAAGGTAAGGTCTGCTGTTGGCATTACAGTCCAGGTTCTCAGTCACCTCCACCATCAGGTGAGCCTGCTGTGCCCCTGAGCCAGGGGACCTGAAGCCCAGGGCGGTGAAGTGTGTGTGCAGGCAGTGGTAGGAAGGCGGGTAGTACAGGTACACTGGGAGGTAGTCTCCCTTTCCCTGGTAGTGCTGCAGAATCGCTTCCTGCCCCTCCCAGAGGATGTTCCTGCACAGTGGCAATGCTCTGGAGCGAGCGCCCAGTATGATTTGATGCCCGCCCCCCTCGTGATGGCAGATGGTGATCACATGTAGGTCAATGAGCTGCTGCTGAGGTCCAGAAGGAGGACAAAGTCATCACAGGAATCTGGCTTCGCAAAATCAGCATTTACTCCCGTATTTCATGACATCTGACATTACTGAACCCTCACTGCTATTTAAAAAACTCTCTCCCTCTGTGCAGTCCCAACTTTCTGGTCATTCTCTCCCAATCTCATTTATAGGCTCCATGTCCTTCAACTCATCCTCAGTCACTGGTGTGGGATAGGAAGAGAGTGTCCTCTCCTGTGCGATTATGAGGAAGGCAGCATAAACTAAAAGGAGACCCCACTGCATGGTGGGATCAAGCCCAAAGTCATCTGCTTTTCCACCCCATCCGTCCAGAACAGTTGTGCAAATCTACCAAAGAAATAAAACATTATCGGTTTAGAAGACACTTCATGAAAAGACCGTTTGACTTTATCTGATTTTATTTTTCACAGAACACCACAATAACAACCAGCTTTCCACTTCAGATGAATCTAGATATGGTTACATACATTTGGATGAACCGGACTGAAGGACTCCAAGAGAGACCCCAAGAGCTTTTTGGATGAAGTCCATATATTGCACGAACTTGAAATCTTTGCCACCAGAGGAACTCTGAAGTTTGTCTTCTTTAAAGTTCTTGGAATAGTCCAGCGAATGGTTTGAGGCATAATCTCCAGCGAATCTGCTGGTATACAGGCATAAAAAAACGGCTGGTTTTGTTTGCTTTCAGAATGGAAGTAGACATCCTCTTGATGAGGCTTTGATGGTAACTTAGGTTTGCTTGCGTAATGATTCAATCTTTCTGACTCATAATTACATACTTTTTTCTTCCTTGTGCATTTCTCTTTATTCTGTGTATAACTGTAATCACACTCCCAATGAAGGTTGTTCTTTCGAAATAAATCCAACTTTGCCTTCTTTCTTTCTTTGCTTTCAAGATGACTGTAAGGTTTGCCTTGGCTTTTTGCAAGATGTAATTTGATATTTGATTCCGTTAAGGGAGCTAAAGAGTAGGTGGTTCTGTGCCCTGCAGACCATGAAGACTTCCCTTCACTGAATGGAACAGAAGATGAGCTAGATGGAACGTCTACAGTATTTAATGAACCATAGCACAACCAGTCAGGAAATGGCGTTGTGTCAGATGACCCGTATTTCCTGCTTTTGTGGGATTCATAAGAAGGTGTCACAATTGAGGAATGTTTTCTACAGCCTCTGACACCATGATGGGAACCTGAATATTCCCTGTAAAATGGTTTCAAATTAGTTTTGCTTTTTCTCATCTTGTAGAGATTTTCCAAAGGAATGCCTTTCTGTAATTCAAACAGAATGTTTTGGGATTCCTGACTTAAATATGGGTTTGCTTCTAAGAACATACATTCTTTGCTCCCATATACTTCAAGAACTGAGCATGCCTCCAAGTTGGCTAGACTCTCAATATTTGTCTGACTCTCAGCAGAATCTTCAGAAATCGGAATTGAATGGGAATCAACTAAATGGGGAGCACTTTCCTGAGTCTTTGGATCAAAATATTTATACGTATTTGTTTCTTGAAACCACCCATGACATTGTTTATCTTTTTCTGGAGTCACATGAGACTTTAACTCTGAAAGAACTGTACTATCTTTCTGAGCTGTGGCCTGTTGATCAGCGTTAGAAGCGCACACATGGGTTGGCTTGAGGGATTTTTTCATCAATGATGAGTTTTCATGGGGACTTTGCTTTTTGGAAGAGATGTGCTGTACTAACGGTTCTGTGTCAATGCAAAGACCACCACCGCTTTCTCCCCTGTAATCTCTATTTTTACAAACTGCAACTGTGTTTAACTTCAGGATATGTTTGGGAAGTGCATTTGGTTTAGGGAACATACTTTTGACTGGAAGCCCCAGGAGAAAATGAAGGTATTTGTATTGCAAATCAAGATCTATTTGATGAGGAGATTTTTCCTCGAAAAGTAACAAAATTTTGTTTTTTCGTTTTGGTACTTTGGTACCAGAATTAACAAATTTAGATAAAGGTTTCTTTGTATTCTGAGCATTGGTCATTGTGTAGGATTCTCTTACAATTCTGGGAAAGGCTGTCATTTGAATCTCTAATGTTTTTATAGAAAAGTGTACGAAAAGTTTGTCTTTTTCTTCTGCTGAGTAGTTTGGAAGAATAGGAGTCAATGGCATCTCATTAGCAGAAGTCGCTGAAGATGCTCCACTTTCTAGCTTTCTAATACTCTTTCGGTTTGCAATGATCTCTTTGCCGTCACTTGAAACATTGACAATCAATGTCTTCATACAGCGGACAGGAGGTGAATCCTTGGGGTATTTCTGATTTAAATTAGGTTCTGTAGCATCAATCCCTTCTAGAGACAAAAAGCACATTTTTTTATGTCTTGGATATAGCCTCCAACTGTTATGTTCTGAAATAGACTGTTTTAGATAAAAGTTGAAGTTGTGGAAAGATTTTTTTGCTATCTCTGGTATCAGATTCAGTTTTATTTCAAACGCTTTTGACTCTAAATGATTAGTGAGCTTATTGTTTTCTTTGGGAAGAAGACGTTCCAAAATGAGTTTTGGCTGCAATTTGGGAGGTTTTGTTGTGGATGTTGTATCTGAACTTCCTGCAAAAGATGGTGACTTCCAAGCATCAGGCTTATGAGCTTTTATTTTTTCCAGTATATCCTCACAAATTTCGTCCTGAATCGTGTTTTTTATCTGGGATTCCAAGATATTTTTAACTGCTTCATAAAGAGGAAGTAAACTTTCAGCACTTGTCCTTTCTGCCACTACTTTTATTTCATTACTTTTAACTTGGGATGGTACAGGCCCACTTCCTGGAAAAGCTTTTTGTTGCTGGACCTTTGGTGTCGTCGTGTCCTGGATAGGTTCATTCTGATCCCCCTGTTTTGGTGGCGAGGCACACCCCATGATATCGAGTAGCTCAGCCCCATGTTGTGTTTCTTCTGCTCCTGGGGGGGAAATATTCATGCTTAGGGTACTTTCCATGTGGGTTTCTACACTGTCCTTTGGATCATCAGACATGAGTGGACACTCTGTGGACGTCAGAATGGGTTTTGGTGCCTTTTCTTCTTCCTCAGTCATAAGCAAGTAGGGTTCCTTTATGAACCTTGAGCTATCAGGCCCTGGAACAACGTTTTCTTCTTTTGTTTGTGGAATCAAAATGTTTTCCTTTGCTTCACGGCTGAGGTTTGTTTCTGATTTTGACAGTGGGGGGAAGGGAGGACACCCTTCTTTTACAATGCTTGAGCTATTCCTCTTAATGTCACTAGTGCTTGGTGATTTCTGTTGGAATTCAGAAAGACAGAGTATCTTTTCTCTTTCTAGGTTTGTCTCAGATTCTGCTGTTTCTTCAGTCTGAGATGAATTCACCGTGGAAATAGAAAGACTTCTGATACATATTCCTGAAGTATCTTCACGCCACAAAACTGTTTTCTTTGGTCCGCTGAAGTCATACTCTAATTTCTTTCTATTGCTTGGAATACCACGTCCTGTGTTATTAAGAATCTGTGAAATTGGGTGATTTTGGATTTTCATAGTTAAATATTTGGGGCTCAGTTCTCTCTTCAAATCTGCTATTGTTAATCTGCCTTTCCGGCCTTCAAACTTGAGAGAAAGAGGAATGTAGGCATAAAATGAATCCAGAATATGTTTTTGAAACATTTTTTGTGCCTGAATATTTTGTTTTGCACCAGGGACTTCTAGGTCCTTTTTATGTTTTTGCTTGATTGGGCAGCTGTTTCCTATACGAGTGATCACCTGAGTGTTAATTTGAGACTCCTCTGCCTTTGGAGATGGAGTGTTCCCATTTACAACATTATTTGTGTCCCTTTTTAAGTTCTCCTCTAGACTGACAATGATGTGTTTGTGCATTTCTGTTTTGTCCTTTTCCAGACAGATAGCTATGTTTGTGTCTATTTTGAATTCCCCTTCTTCCAGTTCTAATGTTTTTTGCTCCAGATTTATAATAGTACTGGTGTCCATTTTATTTTTTCCTTCCAGATCTTCAGATTGAGCTGGAAAAGTCCAATGGGAGGGAAGAGCCTTCTGACATGATTCTAGAATGCATTCCTTTTGTTCTGGCACCAGCAATGCCTGCTCTTTTTTCCCTCCGAGGGTATCAAACACTGTAATATCCACATGTGTTCCTGGTAGTATTTGTATTCTGGGGTACACCATAGTTTGCGTGCATACATCTGTTTCCAATTGTGTCTTCTGCCTTCCATCTTTAAGTGGGAGTTTAAGAGAAAGGCTGGAATCCAGGCAGGTCTCATGTCCCCTTTCAGACTGTAACACCACTTGCTTTTTCACAACAATCTCTTGTTCTTTTATAATTGGGAGAGTATCTGACTCTGTGATATTCATTTTCTCAAGCGATCCCTTTGTCTGTAGGGCTAATGCTTTGGAAGAGGGCATTTTGCTCATTTTATCATGATTTTGTACCTCTTTCTCTGGCTTATCAGATGTGTATGAATTTCCAGATCCTGGAGATGCCTTGGATAACGTTTTTTGTTGGGGGGCATCTTGCTCTGAAACAGAAAATCCTTTTGCATGTACAGGGGTACCAAATGTGACATATATTTCCTTGGATATTTTCCTTGGTGGTGAAACTAAACTCTTAGGACTCCTTTTATGGTTTAAATCATCCATTATTTCAGTTTCTTTCTTCAGGTTGGCCATCTTAGCTGGATCCATTGTGGGGTAGGAAAGAAACGTAGTAAAAGTTTCTGTTTTGTATTTTTCTGGTCGAGCCTCTTGCCCTGTAAAGAAATATCCCAGCCTTTTCCCACTTATGGTACCAAATCCTGTTAAATAAATGTCCTCATGCTGTGAATTTAAAACTAACAGACTCAAGTCTCCTTCAGATTTGACTCGTGGAGGTTCATTCCTTCGCTGTACACTGACCATGAAGTTGGATGTCCACTGTTGCACTGTCTCTTCTTGTGGCACAGAGTGTTTGACTTTCTTCACAACGATTTCACTATCACCAGCAACTAGCTCTGTAATTGCTGTTTTCTGGGTATCTGATGATTCCTGGAGATTTTGCTGGAAAGGAGAGGATCCTGTAGCTCCTGGTACATCTTTGTCTATTTTGTTCCCTGAGTCTAGATAAAGGGCAGGTGCTGATGGGATGGAAAGAAAAGTCCTTGTCAGAACTATAGGTAGCTCATCTTCACCTTTGCACATATTTTCCTTTTGTTCTTTAATATTCAACACAAATTCCTTTGTGTTAAAGATATGGGAAATTGATGAAATCCTGGCCTCTTTGCAATGCATCCTAATCCTCATATCAACTGTTTTCACTTCATACTTTTTTTCTTTCTGTGACATATGTTGTTTTCTTTCTCTTACATCATGAATTGCCCCTGCACCTAATAATGCTGAAAGCATGCATGGAAGTAGAGAGGGCCTTCTAATTCCAAGCATTTTTTCATTTACTTGTGTACCTTTATCTAATGTAGGGTTAGCTGAATGTTTGGAAACATAAATTTTTCTGAGCACTGTACAGGGTGGTTTACCTTGACCATCATGTTTCTTTGGTTCTTGCCCTCCAATGATTAGATGCAATTCTGTTCTATGGAGCATACGTGAAGGAGGTGATTTCTTTGACTTCAAGATTATATCTGTGATATGCGCCATACTTTTCATATTTGTTTTTTCTCTGTCCTTCTCCTCTTCCTGAGGCATACATTGTTTTGCATTTTGACTATCTTGCAAGACATCACCACCGATTGCTTCTGTATGTACTATTTCTCTGGCATTTGATACTCTCTGCACAACAGACCTTGTAGCTACTAACATTTCATCATCTACCTGTATTTCTTTATCCAATTGGAGGAGAGGGAGAGACGAAGATGGAGAGGAAGTGTTGGCCAGAACCACACCTGGTTCATCTTTACTTCCTTGTATCTTCTTTTCTTGATGTTTGGGGAACACGAGGTTTACTGTTTCTACTTCACCCCCCTCCTTGTTCTGGGGCATCTGATCTTTTCCTTTTTGTGGACTGATTAAAATATCTCTAGCAGTTGGCTCTACACTTTCCACATCTTCAGAATCTGATGATTCCTGGAAGTTGACTGGGGAAAGAGAGGATCTTGTTAATATGGCCATTCTCTTTTTCTCACATCTGGGATTCTTGTAAAGGTGAAGTAGGGAAGATCTACAAGTACAAGTACAAGTCTTAGTTGGTATTGTACCAGCTGGCTCACGCTGACCTTCCTGAGCCATTCCCTCTTGGTCTTTAGTTTTCCACGGATGGTCACTTAGATTGTATCTAAGTAAAATAGGTGATCTCTTTTCTTTTAAATGCCTATCACTGGGAGCCACTGTACTATTCATCTCCACGTTTTTCTCTCCATCTCTCACTTCTTTCTGTAACGTGTGTTCTTTTAATTCTTTTACATCATTTGAAAGTTCTCCATCAGTTGTTTCTGCATATGCTGTTTTCACTGCATCTAGTGATTCCTTGGACTGTAGTTGTGGGAGAGGCACATTTGTAATTCTTACCATGTACCCCTCTCCTGTTTTGCCAAAGTTAAGATATGGTAGAGTCAGTAAAGAAGTACAGATGTTTCCCAGATTTTCAACGAGGTCATTTTTCTTTTTCTGCATCTTTCTCTCTTGCTCTTTCATTTTCCACTGCAATTTTTTGGTATCTAGTATATGTGAAAGGGGTACTTCCTTTGCCTTCAGAGCCATACATCTTGGGACCATTTTGTCTTCAATATCTATTTTGAGTCTATCCTTCTCTTTTAACTCACCATAAAATGACTTAGTATATGCTTCTTTGCCTGAATTGGATGGATCCTGAATCTTTGATGGTGGAAAAGTGAAGTGTGTTTTTTCTAATGTGTCTTCCTTTTCATTCATTTGCCCGTCCCATTTCAGGCAAGATGGAGAAGGCAAGGAGGCACAGGCTTCCTTCAGAACCATTTCTGGTTCACTTTTGCCTTCTTGCACTTCTTTCCCTTGCTCTTTAATATACAAAGGTAGTCTCTTTCTACTGGATAGATGTAGAGGTGAGGCTATCTCTGCTCTCAAAGTGATTATTTTTGGGAATCTTCTACCTTCCCCATCTTTTATTTTTACTCTGTTCTTTACCTTTGTATATGGCATAGGCTGATTAATTTTTATTGTTACATCGAATGAGCCAATGCCCTCATTGGAATCTGCATGTCTGGTTTTTCCTGCATCTGATGACTCAGGGCACAGCAATTGTGAAGGAGAGCATCCTATCATTGCAAGCGAGTCCTTGTTTTCTTTGGTTCTTGTGTCCAAACTGTGGTGAGGTGGGGAAGGTGTGGAAGGAGGAGTTTTTGTCCGAGCCACATCAGGGTCACCTGTTCTTTGCTGCTCTTGTTCTACTTTCTCCATCATGCTCCACTGTGGTTCCTTTCTGTTGTTCAAAGCACTGTGCTCAGTAACCCTGAACACAGGAGGAGGTGGTGATATCTTTGCCTTACAATCTGTGCCACTGGGCCGCATTGAGCCATCTGTGGCTTCTGTTTGTACTCTGTTCCTTTCTTCCTGTCGTGGGTGTTGTTCTTCTTTTATCACATGGCTATCAGATGACTCTGTAGGTGCCACTTGCCCTGAAGGCAATGATTCTTGGAGCTCAAGATGTGGCACATCATTTCTTATTATTCCTGGCTCACCCTCCTCATCTTTTATTGTGTCCCACTTAAGATGAGTTGAAGAAGTGATGAAAGGATGAATTCTGCTCAGAAGCACAACAGTGTCCTCGTTATCTTCTTGCCCCACTTTCCCTTGTTCTTTGATGTTGACTTGCAGTTTCTTTGTTTTGAGTATAAGGAAAAGGGGTGATTTCTTTGCCCTCAAAGCTATGTACCTGGGGTGCGTTATGTCTTCCTCAAAAGTATTTGCTTTCTCCTCTTCTGTCTGTGTCATGTATTCTGTTCTTTTTGAACTGCTTGCGATGCCATTCAAAGATGGTACTGTATATTTTAATTCCTCGGCATGTGATGATTCCTTGTGCCATGAGGGTGGAAGAGAGGGTCTTGTTACTCCTTCTTTCTCTTCCTTGCCTCCTATACCTTTGTTTAACTTAAATGGAAGTAGAGAAGTTCTTGTCAGAAGCTTATCTAGTTTGCTTCTTTCCTGTAGGTTTCCTAATTTTTCCTTCATTTTTGTCTGTACTTCTACAGTTTGGGAGCCACAGCTCCCAGAGGTATAGAGTACATGTGGGAGTGGTAATACCTTTTCCTTGGAAGTTGTGCCATTGGGATACATTAGATATTTCATATTTACTATTTTCCTTCCATCTTCTCCTTTCTCTGGCTCATACTCTTGCACTACTCTTAGATCCTTTGAGATATCATCCCCAGTTGACTTTGTATATGCTGTTTTCCCTGCCTCAAATGATTTCTGTAACAGTAGTTGTGAAACAGCAGGTCTTGTTATTCCTTGGCTGTCTTCCTCTCCTTCTATTCTTGTGTCCAATTCATGGTGACTTAAAGAAGATTCAGAAGCCCCGTGTGTGGGCAGAACCACTTCCCGTTCACCTTCACCTCCTCCCTCCATTCTCCCCTGCTCTTCACTTTCCGGATCCACGTTCACCTGCTCTTTAAGATCCGGTGGTATGTCCTGTGAAAGTGCTTGCTTTCTTTTTAAATCTTTATCTTTTGGATGCATCACGTCTCTCTCAGCTGATATCTCTACATCACTCTCTTCTTTCTGTGGCACATAGTCTTTTGCTTCTTGTACATCACTTGCGGCATGGTCATCAATGGACTCTTTATTTGCTTTTTTCACTGCATCTGATGATTTCTGGTGTGATAGTTCTGAAATACAGTATCTTGCAACTTCAGTTAGAGAGTCTGCTGTTTTAATTCTTGTACCCAACTTTAAATGAGAAGGAGCAATTATGCAAGGGCTGGTATTGCTCACAAGGACATTTGGCTCATCTTTAATTTTTTGTACCTTTGTCTCTTGCTCTTCAATATCCAGCTGGGTTTCCTGTGAAATTGGTGATTTCTTTTCCCTGAAAGGTATGACTTCTTCCTTTTTTACTCTCTCCTCTTCTTCCTGCATTATATGCTCTTTGGCTTTATTTATGTTACTTGAGATATCACCATAAACAGACTCTTTGTATGCTATTTTTTCTATATCTGATGACTCCTGGAGTTCTGGTTGTAGAAAAGAGGACCTTCTTTTTATTAGCCTGGTTTCTTCCCCTGTTATTCTTATGTCCACTTCTGAGTAAGATGGAAAAGAGACGGAAATACAAGATGTGTTCCGAATCCCAACTTGATTATCTTTATGTTCCTGCATGTTTTTCTCATTTTCTTTGATGTTCAACTGTAATTCCTGTGTGATTGGAGACTGTTTCACTTTCAAAGCTATTCTTTTGGGTTGCATTATTTCTTCCAAAGCCATTTCTACTCTCTCTCTCCGTGGCATATATTTTGCTTTTTTTATACTGCTTAAAATATCATCAGTTGGCTCCTCACGTACTCCCATTGCATCAGATAATTCCTTGAGTGTCAGTGATGGAAGACAAAATCCTGCGATTCCTCGCATGAGGACCTCCTTTATTCCAGGCATCGGTTCCAGGTGCGGTGAAGAAGGAAAGGAAGCATGGTGTTTATTCTGAACCATGTCTAGATCACTTTTATCTTTCTGCATCGTTTCCTCTTGTTCTTTGTTATTCCACTGTGGCTCTTTTCCATGCAGTATATATTTAAAAGGTGTTTTCTTTCCTTTAAAAGTGACACATTTGAGGCCCATGATGTCTTTCACATATACTATATTTTCTCCATCTTCCTTTTTTCCCTGTGGCAAATGTTTTGATTCTATTACACGGCTTAAACTATCTCTATTAATTGACTTTGCAAATAGTGTTTTCCTGACACTTGATGATACCTGGGACTTTAACGGTAGAAGGCAGCTCTTTAGTATTCCAGACTTACCTTGCCCTACTTTTATTCTTGAATTCACATCAGTATGTGGTAGAGATGGTAAGGAAGCACACAAGCCTGTCAGTTTCATACATGGTTTACCTTTACCTATCCGCACCTTGCTGTCTTGTCTTGTAATGAACGAGCCAATTTGTTCTGTACTTGGAATGTAATCCATGGTGCTAACTACTTCTTTTGATGCCTTCTCTGTACATGGCATCTTGCTCTGAAATATGTCCCTCAAAGAGTGAGAAGCAGGTTTTGGAGAAATCTGGTGTATACATTCTGGTTGCTTTTCTTCTTTTCCCTCAACAGGCAAGCCAATTCCTTCTGTATTTGAAGTGTGGTACATTGGAGCCTTTAATGCTTCCTTTACACATGGCAATTTCATCTGAAGGACATCTGTCAAGGAATAAGAAACAGATGTTGGAAGAGCCTTGCATGTACTTTCTTTTTGAGGTTCTTTTCTTCTCCTGTTGTGCAAGTGAACTCCTTCTGAGCACGGAGGTTGGTCTACTGGAGTATCTGCTTTATTTGATGCTTCATCTACCACTGAACTCAAAACTTTTGAACTCCTTCCTTTCGCTGAGACATTTTTCTTTATCTTATTATTATGGAGTCGATGCACTATGCATGAAGAAATGGATTCCAGAATATTTTCTTTATTCTGGTTAGACCTATGTAGTTGCTTCGCCTTCAGTTTTCCAGAAAAAATCATTTTCTTTTCATTTAATCTCAATGGACTATCAGTTACCTGTGATTGCTCTTTTCTCCATGGATTTACATATAAATTTATAGGAATGCTTACATCTTCCTTCCTTGTATCTACCACCTGTGTTATCTGGAAATGATTATCCCTATTTGGGCAAGATACAGAATCCACAGTACTTTCAGGAATGTCATCTGGCTCCATCTCTCCTTTCTGCACTGCAGATATATTTTGCTGGGCCACCAGATTGGTGTAAAGAAACTTCTGTCCTTTTGAGCCTTGGAAGATATCAGTTTCTTCTATATGTTCTCTTCCCAATAGATGTGAAATATTTTTTTTGCTGGTGTACATTTCTTCCTCAGCTACCTTTCCTGTGTTTTCCAAATGAGAAGTTTCCATAATGGGGTAGGCAACAGACCCCAGATTTGTCATTGAAACACTTCCTTGTTTTGGCAATTCTTGCTCCTTGCAAGTCTTCTGTTGAGAAGCATTCAACTCTGTAAGGAATATATTCTGTCCTTTTGAACTTAATGAAGCATCGGTTTTCTCTGATACTTGTCTCCCCGATGGAATTGAAACCGAACGTTCAACCATGTCTATGTCTTCTTCCTTCACTCTTTGTGCAACAAGGAATTCACATCCTGTAAGTTTTTTAACTCTTGGGGCATCGAACCTAGGGTAATCGATATCCCTCTTCTGGGAAGATAGACCAGGGTATACTTCTCTTTCCAACGTTACTCCTATTTTCATGGGGTCAAGCTCCTTCTTCACTTGTTGGCCAATCACTAACTGATCTCGACATTGAGGGAGAATGTCTAGTAAAAGAGTTTGGTGATTTTCTTTTTGTGCTCTAATGCATTGTTTCAGTGTTTTGATGTTTCTTGATATAGTATTCTTAATATCAGTGGACTCTGAAGATGACATTTTTCTCTGGCTTAGTGATTTCTCTAGCTTTCGCTGGGGAAGAGTGTAAAGGGGCTTTCTTGGCCTGTCTTTCTCCCTTTTTACTTCTGTAAACTGTTTAATTTGAGATGGGCCAGATCCAGAATCACAAATAGTGCTCAGAAGTAAATCTGTTACAGTTTTATCTTGCCAGAACTCCCTCTTCTGCTTCTTCATGTTACATGTCTGTTCCTCTTTGTTTCTTCTGGTCCTACATCCTATAGTATGACACAGCTGGGAAACAGGTAGCTTCTTTGCTTCCAATTTGACCCGTTTGGTATGCATACTGTTTTTCACATCTGCTGTTTTTGCCATAGCTTTATCTTTTACGATTTGAAGATACACAGGTGTGCAGGCATAAGCAGAGCTAGCATTTGCTTTGTTTAGGGCATTTCCCTTTTCAGAAGACTCTTCAGAGATACCCCAGGTACTAGGTGATGGCTCCATTTTTATGTGTGAAAAAATAGGCATGGAATCATATACGGATTTGAGGTCCACACGTAATACGGTTTTCTCTCTCTTCGTGCCTATCTTCTTTTCCTGTCGCTCATTATTGCTTAAAGCAGCACGACTGGTAGCATGAAGCGGTTGTGAAATCACTAGCCCTTCGGTTGGCGGCTCTCTATGTGTTGGCTGTGTGTGACGGAACTGTGATCCTCTGTCAATCCCTGTTTTCAATCTGCTCTGCCTTCTAAGGTCAGGGGTATCCGGTGTGAAGTCAATGGTATTTGGAAATGTATTAGCCACATTTTTATCCTGCCTCATCTGTTTCATTTTCGTTTTTAAATTGGATCCAGGTTTATTCCTGTATTTTGTGGTAAACTGCCTTCTGATCTTAAGTATTTGTGAAATTGCCGGCTCCTTTTTCTTCATAATTGAACAGTTGATATTCAAAGTGATTTTCTTTTCTAATAACTGTACTGTGTTTTTCTGGCTTTCAGGGTCAGATAAAATAGGTGTGAAGAAATCTAAAGGCCCCAAGAAAGTTGTGGCAGAGTTTTCCCCTAACTCTGCCTTTTCTTCTGTAGTATGACCACGCAGATTTTTGTGAAGTGTTCTGTTATATATGGTGCTCCTTGCTATTGTATCGAATGAGTGTTTATCAGTCACTATCTTGGATGGTGGAGTCTCAGTTCCCTCAGCAGCAGGGAGTGACGCCTCTACAACACTTTCAATCCACTGTCTCCCTTTCATCTTGTACTGAAATGTGCACCCCTTTTTCTTTCTATGGCTTCCTGTAATACACTTTGTGGTATTAAGCAATTGTGAACTTGGTCGTTTCTTTGCCTTCAAAGTTACATGCTTGGAACTTACTATACTTCTCTTGCTTACAAACTCCAATGCATAGCTCTGGCTTTTGGGTACAGATGAATCAAGGCTGGAAAAATCTGAAGGTTTTAAGACTGTTCTCACTAAGTCATTTTGATTCCATGCCTTCTTCCCTGAGATAGGACTATCCCAATGTCTCCTAGGATTTCCATCCCATAGAGTGCCACCTTGTATTGAAGCGGTCTCTGATTTCCTTGCTTTTGGCAATGGAGTCTTTACACGTTCCATACATTTTATTCCTTCTTGAGTAGAAAGACCTTTTTTCTCTGTTTCAACTTGAAGAAAAGTCATCATGTGTCTAGAAACAGGCTCCGAAACGGTTTCTCTAAAGCATTCTTCTTGTCCCATCTTTTGTGCTGTCCAAGGCAAATTCCAAGTCCTTCTGACTTCTGAATTATTCAGTTCAGATGTTGATTGGGAAGAACCAGGATTTTTCATTTGATCGGCGCTGAAGCGGTGGTGTTGCCCACAGTGTGGAACTGAATCCAATAACATTCTTTGGATATTTTCCTCTTCCTTTTCATGTTGCACATTCTTTTTCATTGTCTTGCTTGATCTGTTTTGCATATTAGTTGAGCTGGCCTGGTTCCATGCTTCCCTATCACATGGTGATTTCCTTCGCTTTGCAGGGATATGGCTGTGCAGATTTACTCTTAGTTGATCTGTCTCTGCTTTTGATGTGCTCTTCATTTCAATATCTATTTTGTTATCAGCTGAAACAGGTGCGGGAGACAAAAATGCATTAGCTATACTTTTATTTTGTTGCTTGTCTTTTATTGAAGATTTTAAGTTGCCGTCCTGTTCCTTTCTACAGTAGAGATTATCATGCTCAGTGATATGAAGCATCTGTGAACAAAGCGGCTTCTTTGCCTTCATGGTTACACATTTGGGACCCGTGAGATTTTTCCTTCCTGGAGACTTTAATACCTTTTCCTGCCTTATAAAGTCAGAGAAAACGGATGTTGTGGACGTTGTTAGTAAATCTCTTTGCAACTCTCTATGTTTTCTGGCAATGCAACCACTCATTTTCCTCCTAGAGCTTCCATCACCAGGATCTCCAAGCACTGAGTTTCCCGATTTGGTAGGCGGAATATTTTGATCAACTCTGTGCTTCACTACTTTGTGAGTTTTTATGCCTTCCCCCTTGTCTTCAGGTCGTAGGGAAACTGCCATGTGAACATCCAGCTTCCTTGCAGAGCTCGCATCAGATTTGGCACTACACTCTGCTCCATCAGTTGAAAAGTAGTCCAACAGTGCTGTCCCTGATTTTGGACATGGAATCTTTTGACCGAGTCTATGTGGTATGTCTTTTTGTGGTGGGATGTTCTTCCTCAGCTCTTGAATGTGAAGTGGAATCAGAGGAGGACAAGTAGACTCCAATTTATTTTCTGAAACCACTGTCTGTCGCTGTACTTCCTGCTCTGTAATAAACATATTTTGATCTTTTCTCCTTCCTGTACTACACAGGAAATGTAGACCTGCCTCAAATAAAACTCCAAAACCCTCTCTTTCTTTCCCACTTTGCCATCTTGATTCTGATGTGCTGCTTGAGTTGCTCCCATTATTAGAGGAATATGGACACAGTTTTTCCCCTTCATGTTGTTCTAGCTGTGAAATACTGCTTTTATTCCTTAATGGGTCTTTCTTTGCTTTTATTTTTTGATGCGTTTTGATGGCAGGTGAAACGGGTGTATGTGAAAGGTAGGTATTCATAAATATATCTGACATAACTTGAGATATTTCTGGGGCCATGTTTTCCAAGACGCAGTCCTGTTCCTTTCCATGGCTAAGAGCTGTAGACCTAGCGATGTGGATCGTCTTTAAAATTGATGCCATCTGTGCTTTCCCCGTTCTAGATTTGGGGATTTGTGGTGTCTTTCTCCACCCTCTAAAATCAGATGAAGCTGGAGTGGTGAAATCCAAAAACTTCAAGGTTCTCCCTTGTAACTCCTTTTGCAATCTTCTCTTCCCTTCTGGAGTAGATCTAGCAAGTTCCTTTCTAGGGCCTCTTTCAGATGGGATGTCACTCTGTGTTGTAATAATTAAAGATTCACGAACAGATTTCCCTAGCTCCGGAGATAAAAGCCTTGGGCTCTCTGCATATTGCAAGCCTTTCTGTGCTTTCGTTCTTTTTGGTAGCTTCTCAACTGGAAGTGAATTCAAGATAGTGCAGGAAACACAATGCAACACGCTTTGTGTGAAAAGTGTTTGTTGCTGCTGCTCCTGAGCTGTGTTAAGTGGTTCTGGGATTTTTTTCCTTGCTGAATTCTCCAGTTCTAGTTCTGATCTGACACAGCGAGGCTCCTCCGTTTTACCAGTGATGGAACTGAAGTGCTGAGAACTCCGTGGGGCTGCTTCTTCACGTTGGCCTTTGACCTCCTTCATGCCCCTGGAGGCACGGCCCCTCTTGTCACTGGAAAAGGCCCCGCTGGCTCTCTCTCCATCTGGTGACAGCTCTTGCTGTTGCCGTTCGTGACTAAATCTCATTGTCCACAACACATCTGACTCTGCTTTTATTCTGTTATGCATTTTCACGTCAAGTGAAACAGGCATGGGAGAGGAGATGGCATTTAGGGTTTTGTCTGCCACGGGTTTACCTTGTTTCATCATGATACTGAAGTTGCATTTGAATGGCCTTCTATGGCTTGGAATACCACGTTTTGTGATGTGAAGTGTCTGGGAAATTGGTGGCTTTTTTGTCTTCAAAGTTACCCATTTGAGACTCATTTTCTTTCTCTTCTCTGTATATTTTAAATGGTTTCTCCTTCTTTTCAATGCAGGTAAAGCAAGTGTGGATAAATCCAAAGACTCGAGAATCGTTGCTGGAAATTCTTGTGCTAATCCTTCTTTTTTCTCTGCAATAAGATCTTCCGGTACCCCAGAGCACTTTGTATGAATTAAAAAGTCAATGTTCTGTGATTTCAGGGTCTTTGGAGGTAAGTTTTTTAGACAACCATTCCCTGAGATACTAAATATTGTTGAAATTGGCGTTTTCCTTGCCTTCATAATTACACATTTGGGACTCATTTGATTTTTTAAGGCTCTACATGTAAATGTCTTTCTCTGCTTTTTCGGTTCAGACAGATCAGGCGTGGAGACCTCCGAATACTCCAGGACAGTTGCTTCTAGATTTTTTTTAAACTCTGCATTTTCCTCTTTACCATGATGGTACAGTTCCCCCATATGGCTCCCAACACTTGGGACACCACCCTTCACTGTATCCACTAAAACTTGACCAATTAGTGAGTCCTTTGACTTTAGAGGAGGAAGCTTTGAACTTGCTATATATATTGCACCATTTTGTGGATGGTGGCTTTTCTTTGGCTTCTCTCCCAGCATGGAATCTGTAGGCTGCATTTGTTGTGGGATGTCTTGTTCTATAACAAAGAGAATTTTCCCACTTCCTTGGTTTTCTGATTGATGAAGGTCAAGCTCCTCCCTCTGGCCTGAACAGAATTTGAAATGTGTGCTGTGCTGTGAAATTACTTTTAATATCTCCTGGTCACCGGTTTCTTCCTCCTCATCTTGAACACTGTTTTCTTTGGTGTCATCTGAAGTAATATTCCCTTCCACTGGTGATGTTGCTTGCTTTACTTGTTTAGCCCTGAGACTTCTTTCTCCTAACATATCTTTTTCTCTTTCTATCTTGTTATACGTATTAATGTCAGGGGTAATAGTCATGAAAGAATACATTTTAGCTGCCATTTTTTCTCTGTGATGCACCTCTTTCATTTTGGTTATAGGGTTACATCCCAATTCTTTTCTATGGTTTGGGCTAACAGCACTCTTGATATTGAATATGTTTGAAACTGACAGTTTCTTTGCCTTTAAAAGTCCATATTTGGTATTCACTGAGGTTTTCTTGTCTGAATATTTGAAGTTTCTCTGGGGTGTAGATAAAGCAGGTAGGCAGGAATCAAAAGTCACTGTGTCTTTCTTTTCAACACCACCAGCCTGTTCCTTTTGGTGATTTGCGTCAGATGGGACACCATGTTCTCTTGCAGAAAAAATGATCTCATCATTCTTCACTTCCTCTGACTTAGGAGGTGAAAACCCAGTGTAACTCTCTAGCTCTCCAAATTGAAGCTGATCCAGTATGGGGCATGAAGCATAACTTAAAACAGTTTGTGTACCATGCATTTGTGGTTGTACCTGAAGATTTCGACTTCGTGGTTGTTTCAGCTCCTCATCTGATTGGACAAGATCAAAATTCTCCTTCTGATACGCATTGAATATGAAGCTTTGGCTATTCTCTGGAGCTGGTGACACTTCATGTTTTCCTTCCTTCTCTTTCCCATCTTTCATACTGTTAGATAAGGTACTCACGATATGATCCGGGCAACATACTTTTCCTCCATTTAGCAATTTCTCTTGCATTAGCTGCATATAATCAAGTCCTGTTACCCTCTGCATATCTGTCTCTACATTTAATCCGCTACTCATTTTGGTGTTGGGCAAAATAGGCACCCGGGACTGAATGATATTGAGAAATGCATCTGCTGCGTTTTTATTTTGTTGTGGCTTTTTCATTTTTGTTTTAAAATTGCACTGCAGTCCCTTGCTCTGCGTGCCATTAAGCATATGTGAAGCTGATGGCTTTTTTCCCCTAATAGTTCTATATCTGTGATTTGCTGTTATTTGCTTCCTTGCTAATTCTAATGTGTTTTCCTTTCTTTCAGATTTAGAAACAAAGGGCTCAACAGAACCAGAAGAATGCAGGCATGTCACTTGCAAATCTTTTGGTAACTCTGAATTGTTTTCCACAAAGTGAGAATCTACTACCCTTTTCGGGTTTCCACCAGATGGTAAGTCACACTCTGTCATGGTGTTGAAAATGTTATCAAATGATGAGTTCTCTGCTTTGGGAGGTGGACTCTCGGCACCCATAGGGGCTGTTATGGCATGTTCTGTTTGGCTGGGTTTCTCGAGTTCCTCGCCTTCTCTAGGAGCCATCTGGAGGCTAGTCTGCAAGGCAGTTTGTGCAAACCATGTTTGGTGCTGAGCATCTTGCTCCTGTGTTAAACTGCTCAGTGCTGTGTACTGTTCGTCAAGGTGGGTCTCCTTCCCTTGACATGCATCGGGCCAGAGATGCTGGGTATGCTGCGAAGCTGCCTCTAGCAATGTTTTCTGCTCCACTTCCTCTCCGTCTTTCACTTTTTCTTCTTGGTCATGGAATGCACTACACTTATCAAAGAAATCAACATACCGTGGTCTCACTTCCTCTGCTAATTGCCCTTGCTTTAACTGAGCGTGACAGAAGCTGTTTGTCTCTCCTTGTAATCTGCTATGCATAGGAGAAAAAAGGCTACTTATAAAGTCATATACCAATCCATTAGCTTGGTTGATCTTCTCCAACTTGGCCTTCGCCTCAGAGTCCAATTTCTTTCTATGACCTGTTCTATTAAATACTTGTGAAACTGACGGCTTCACTGTATTCGTTGGTACTGACTTGGGCTTCACTGGACATTCTGTGTGTGAGAATCGTACTCTGTTTTTATTCACTTTTGAGTGAGTTAAAACAGGCATGTGGCAATTAAAAGTCTCTGAATACATTGCTGGTAAATCTTTTGGTAGTTCTGCCTTTGTGTCTGCAAAAAAGTAACCCATTTCCCTTGTATCCTTTCCATAATCTAAAACATCACTTTCTCTTGTTTGGTTTAAAGGGTCTCCAATCACTGATTTTCCTGATGTCGGAAGAGGTATCTCCGCATCTGCAGTGCGTTTTAAGTCTGCTTGTGTTGCTAGGCTTTTCTTCATATTCTCAACATGAAATAGATCCATTATTGGGGTGTCAACAGACTCCACAAGACTTTCTCTGGATGTAACTGGTTGAGGCATTTCTTCCTCTGTTTTGAACTCCTTCTCGGGATTTGCATTCAATCTGAGGTGCCAGGGACCATGAAGGACTGCTTCTGGTCGAGCTGCTTCGTCCCCTCTCACTTCATCTTGCAATTTAGCTTCTTCTAGTGTGTTTCCAGAGTCATTTCCTTTATTAATAAAATTGGAATGCTTTTCTTCCCTTTCATCCTCTGATTCCTCTTGGTTTGGCTTGGTATGGCTGGGATTCTCCGCATTGAATCTGCTGTGCGTTCTAATACGAGGCACAGTAGACATGTGGGGGTAAGTAACATTCACAAGCACATCAGACACAATTTTATCTTGCAGTATCTGTTTAGTTATGATCTTAAAATTGCCTCTCAATCTTCTCCTAAGACTTGGTATACCATTCCTACTGATAGTAGGCATCAGTAAATTTGCTGGCTTCTTTACTTTCATAATGACAAGTTTGGGACCGAGTACCGTTTTTGCTCCTGACCATTTTCTTCTGATTTTCTGCCTTTTGAAAGACGATAAAGGAAGTGTGCGGATGATGAACAACCCCAGGGCAGCTGCAGGGAAAACTCGTTTTAAGTCTTCCTTTTCCTCCGCAATATGATCATCTGGTATCTTTCTGGGGCTTCCACCAAATGGGACATCACATTCTGTTGTATCAGTTAAAACACCACCCACTGGTGAGTTCTCTAGCACTGTACGAGGATTCTTCGCATCTGTAGTCTCTCTGCCTGTAGGTCTGTCCGTGATTTGCTTTACCTGAACTTGAAATGGATCCATTGTGGGGCATGGACCAGTCCCCACAATTGTTTCTGTAGAAAGAGTTTGTGGTTGTACCTCTTGCTCTTTATTTGGGTTTTTTCTACTACCTGAACTGCTCTGTTTAATTTCAAATCTGACATATTTAGGCTTCTGCCTTAGTTGCAGGCCGACCCTGAAATCTTGTTTCAGCTGTGGAACTGCTTCTTGTAAAGTTGGTTCCTCTTCCTCTCTGTCATGTTCTTGTGGCTTTTTAATACATCTCTCCTCAATGTATTTTGCATCCGATGCTTTCTTTTCATCTGGTAATTTCTCTTGCTCTACCACTGAATAACTAAACCCTGTTGTCGATGTATCTGTCTTGGCTTTTAATCTGCTCTGCATTTCCATATCAGGCGGCCCAGAAATGGTAGTGTCAGTGGCATTGTGAAACGTTGCAAATATTCTTTTATCTTGCATATTTATGTTGCTTCTCGTGTTACATTGCAGTCTCTCACTTTCACTTGGGTCATCACATTCTGTCACATGAAGGATTAATGGTTTCTTTTCCTTCATAACTGTATCTTCTGTACTCTCTTGAGTTTTTACACTTGCTACTTGCTCACTGTTTTTATGCTCTTTAATTCCTAGTGAAATGAGCAAATTGACCTCTGAAGTCTCCAGAACAATTTCCAGGAAATCTTTTTCCTTTTGTATATTTCTGTTTGGAAAGCACCTTTGTGTTTCTGGCGAATTAGTTGGTAACTCCTCTCCATTTGAAAGTGGAAGATGGGAATTCTCTGTACTTTTTAGGTCTTCCTGTGTTTTCATTCTTCTGTTTGATTCCATTTCAGGAGAGGAAGCAAATTTTTGCCAAGGTTCTGATATAGCTTCTTCTAAAGGTGCCTCATGCTTTGGAATATGCAGGTCAGATGTTTTTTTACTATTGGGGGCATGGAACTCTGCAATACCAATTTCTTTTTCTTGTGTAATTGGGTCTTTAAGAGACTGTTTATTCTTCCAGTTTTTTTCTATTAATAAAGAACAAGGTGCTTTTAATGGAAAAGTATTGACCATGAAAGACTCTTCTAGCCAGGATGGAAGTTTTGCTGAGATGTTTTTTTGTCCTTCATTTTCTCTGCCATGCTGCTTTACATTTTTAGCATTGCCTGAGGTTCCTCTTTTCTCAACAGACCCCACACAACTGACATTCTCCGCATCTAGTGACTTGTTTTGCTTCAGCAGAGAATGTCTACGTCCTGTTACACCTGGCATGACTTCTACTAGTTTTTTTCTGGAATACCTCTTGATATAAGGAGGAACAAGCTTGGAAAAGTAAAGAAGATGCAAAGCTATATCTGATACACCTTTCCTTGGATGTAATTCTTTCTTCTTAGCATTATACTTGCATCCTAACTTGACAGGTTTTGAAGTGTGGCATACTGTCATTTGAAATACCCATGGAGTTGGTGGTTTCTTCGACTTTTGAGATGAAACTTTGCGACTAAGTTTACTTTTACCGTGTAATGCTTTTCTCCAGTTTTTCTGCCTTTTAAAGGTAAGTGAAAGAGGCACTGAGCTATCTACAGAATACTGGTTTAATTCTGAAGAAGCAATTTGTTTCTGGCCCTCTGGCTTTACACTCCTTATTTGGAGCATCCCTTCTGCAAATGAATTTGGACTTACAGTTAAAACTAGAAATCTGGCATTCTTAAAAATAGCATTTTGCCCCTGCGTTAAATGTTTAATCTGGTTTGAATCTTCAAACCAAACAGGAGAATATTGGGTCTCATGTAAGTGTTTATTATCAGACTCTAAGCCCTTGATTGAATGTTGAGTCTCAACAGAATGTGGGACATTAACCAAATGTTGGCTTCTGCCCATAACTTGGGTCTGGAAGGAGTCTTGTGTGCTGCTGGAAAACGGCTTCCTAATCAAATCTTGGGGCAGAGCAAAATACCTGGCCATGATATCAGGCTGGCTGTTGACTGATTCTTGGTTGTTACCAAATTGTTGGGCTTGGCTAGTAAATCTGGCTTCATGAAAACCTTGATTCTGAATAGCATTTTGTACTGGAAAAGAATCTTGTGCTTGGGTAGGAATATGCATTCCAAAAGAATGTTGATTTTGAATCAAGGACTCTTGAGGTCTTGAGTATGGATAAGTAGTTTTACTCTCTAATATAGTTTTGGGTTTTAAAGGAATTTGATTTCTCACAGTTTCTTCCAGAAGTCTGACTTGGTCTCTGGAAAGAAATAAGTGGGCAGGAGGACATGGTGCCATATCTAGACCTTCACTTCCTCTAGAGATGCTAGAGCGTCTTGAAAAGTTAAAGTCAGAAGAAAATGCTGGATTTTTATTTTTGTTGGTTTTCAATATTGCAAATAATTTCCTTGATGAAAATTGTGCTGTTTCATGTTCATTTTCATATCCTCTATGGCTAAGAAAAAATTCCTTTACTTCTGAATGAAACAGTGACAAAGATGAGCTAGTCCCATGTGAAGATGGCATACGACTTTCACTAGAGTAACTTACTTGATATTTACTTTCACTAGTACCTGACCATATTACTTCATCTGTTGGTGAAACTCTATCTTCAAAGTTACCTTCCTTGTCTTCAGCTTTAAGTGATGAAGTAATTGTTCTTACTGAAAACTCATCAACTCTGAATAATAGAAAACAGTTTGTAAATGAGTTGTCATTTAAGACATATTTCAAACAAGAACTCTCTTCTAGATTTAAGGTAACTCAATAGAGTATAAGAACACAGCTCAATATAAAGATGAATTGAAAAGTCATTATTCACATTACAGAATAACTCATAACCTAGTTCCACTCATTGAATAAATCAATCCACTGACAAAGTGAAGTAAATTATTCTCATTTCTCAGAGAATGAGGGATTTTTACCTCAAAAACCTATCCCAAAGTCTATTTTAAAAATTTATTTATTTATTTTGAGAGAGAGAGAGAGAACAAGTGAGGGAGGGGCAGAGAGAGAGAGAGACAGAGAATCCCAAGTGGGCTTTCCACTGTCAACACAGAGCCCAACTCGGGGCTCGATCCCATCAACTGTGAGATCATGACCTGAGCTGAAACAAAGAGTTGGAAGCTGGACGAACTGAGCCACCCAGGTGCCCCTCAAAGTCAACTTTTGACAGCAAAGAGTCAAAGTTGCAAGTTAAAGTTACAGTAAAACTTTGGTTTGTGAGCATAATTTGTTCTGGAAACATGCTTGTAATCCAAAGCACTTGTATATCAAAGCAAATTTTCCCCTAAGAAATAATGGAAACTCAAGTGATTCATTCTTCAACCCAAAAATATTCATATAAAATGATTACAATACTGTAATATAATAGAAAATAATAAAGGAAATACAAAATATAAAAAAAAATAAATTAACCTGCACTTACCTTTGAAAACCCTCGTGGCTGGTATGAGGGAGACAAGAGAAGGGTTATTGTGTAGAACAACTTTCACTATCACTGACTGTCTCACTGCTATCTATTAGCTCAATGTACTCTTTTTCTGCATGGGGACCATTTTATATACTAGCATGGATGTTGACTACAGTACAGTATTAATAAACTCTTGCCATACACTGTATTTAATGTAACTGGAAATAAGACAGCAGAGGAAAGGGTTTGTATCTGCAGGCAGCCTGACCTAGAATGAAGCAAAGTATTCCTAAGCTTAGTGTTGTGTGGAAAAACAAAGGACTGTCCATAGATACTTTGAAGTGACAAAAAATACACTAGTGCCAGTTGTGGGCACCTTCCAAAGTTCTGAAAAATCACTGCTTTCTGCCAAACACTGTAGCCTGAGACCAAGCATCCGAGCATGGGAGATGATCACCCACAATCTCACAGAGAAAAAGAGAGAGAGAGAGAGAGGGAGAAGAACCATTGTGATCATGTGACAATCGGTGTCATGTACTACCCACAATGCAAAACATCCCTCATTTATCAAGTTAAAAAGTATCAAATGTTTGCTTATCTTGTAGAACACTTGCAGACCAAGTTATTCACAATCCAAGGTTTTATTGCATATCCTTTTACAAGAAATATCAGTTTGTTTCTGTTCTCTGCATGCAAATTTGACAAGAATAAAAATATTCTTTTTTTTAAGTTTATTTATTTATGTTGAGAGAGAGTAACAGACAGAAAGTATGTGTGCATGACAGCAGGGGAAAGGCAGAGAGTGAGGGAGAGAGAGAATCCCAAGCAGGCTCCACGCTGTCAGTGAGGTGCCTGATGTGGGGCTCGATCTCTCGAACTGTGAGATCATGACCTGAGCTGAAATCAAGGGTTGGATTTAACCAACTGAGCCACCCAGGCACCCAAAGTTTAAAAATATTCTTATGGATGGGCGCCTGGGTGGCTCAGTCAGTTAAGCATCTGACTTCGGCTCAGGTCATGATCTCACAGTTTGTGAGTTCAAGCCCCACGTCAGGCTCTGTGCTGACAGCTCAGAGCCTGGAGCCTGCTTTGGATTCTGTGTCTCCGTCCCCCTCTGCCCCTACCCACCCCCCTCAAAAAAAATACATATTAAAAAATTTTTTTTAAATATTCTTGTGGAAATTTATTAGATGCAACAGAAGAATGTCCAATACCATAAACTAACTGTAGCTTTCTATATATAAACCCAGATTATTTTAACAGCTGTTTATTTCTGATTGAGAGAAAAGCCTACATGTTAGGTCAGTGCTTCTCAGCACAATTTTGGATTGGAATAATGATCATGGAAGTGGACTCTCTAACATCTATTCTACATCAAATGATTAGACTAAGTCTAACATAGTAATCTCGTTTCCACTTCCAAGTGATTAGGTTAGGTGCGGACATGAACTGATCCTAGAATAAGACAAAGATTTGTAAGGACTTATGGAGAAAGCTGCCTTATTCCTAAGAAAGACACAGAGAAAAATGGCCTTTTACTTCCTCTGGACATTGCTGCTCTGATTTTGAAACTCTGATAGCCACCTTTCTCCCCCACCCCCCCCCCACCCCCCAAGATAAAACACTGAGAAAGGCAAAGGGAGAGATACAGGACCTTAATGAACTTGTTGGTCTACTGTATCAATCCATTCTGCAGCCTATTCTGCCTCAGGATTCCCATTATATAATATCATAAATTCTCTTAGTATGACAGTGTGCATCATGGTTTTCTGTTCCCTGGAAATGAAAATATCCTAACAGATACAGGAAGGATACATAAGCATTCTGGGGAATTAAGTGACTCCAATAAGTTACACCAGTGTCGAGACATAATTAGGATAAAATTTCATCAGGACAAGAATGTGATTATTCACTTAAGGTTGAACAAATAGTGAGAATATAAGAAATACAGAAAATTGATGTCTGCATGTTTCAGGAAAAAGAGGAAAGCTTAAATGCAAGACATGTATTTCAGCAAAAATACTGCGTTTTTAAACATAATAAGACAATAGTAGATAATTCTCATATGTTGAGCCAACCATGCATTCCTAGAAACAATCTCACTTGGTCACAGTGTATAATCCCTTTAATATGCCGCTGGATTTGGGTCGCTAGTATGTTTTTGAGGATTTTGCTTCTATATTTATAAGGGATATGGGTCTGATACCTATCTTGCACACCAGCTCTACGTACTGTCCATTTGATGACCTCCCAGGCCATCGTATTCTCCTGGTTTCCTATTAACTCCCTGGTGTCTCCTTCTCAGTGTCCTTTGATGGCTCCTCCTCTTCTTCCCGATCACCTTGAAGTGTCTCAGGGCTCAGTCCTTGTTCCTTTTCTCTTCACACAGTCCCTCTGAAATCTCATCCTCTCTTGTAACTTTTAATATTGCCCATATGACAACAACCACCAGACTTAGTATCTCTACCAAACATCTTTTCCAAAACACTTATCCACTATCTCCATTGGATATCAACTCAATATCTCTAATTCAACAAATGCAAAACAAAATTCCTGATCTCCCCATCAAAACCTGCTCCCCTCAGTTTTCTTCATCTGGGTTTTTGACCACTGCATCTTTCTACATGCTCAGGCCAAAACTATCAGGACTCATTTTTGTCCCCTCTCTCTCTCACACCCGCACCCTGTTGACTCTACTTTTCTAAGCACATCCTGAAACCAACCACTTTGCACCACGTCCCACTGCTGCCACCCTGGTATCAGTCACCTTTATCTCTCACTTGGATTATTTTCAGTAGCCCGCCCATCTGCTTAGACCCTTGACTAAATATAGTCTACTCTCAACTGGCAGAATAATCCTTTAAAAATAAAAGATAGACAGAGGTGCCTGGGTGGCTCAGCCAGTTGGGCGTCTGACGCTCAGTTTTGGCTCAAGTGATGACCTCATTGTATCCTGAGTTTGAGCCCCACATTGGGCTCTGTGCTGGTGGTGCAGATCCTGGTTGGGAATCTCTCTCTCTCTCTCTCTCTATCTCTCTCTGCCCCTCCCCTATTCATGCTGTCTCTGTCTCCCTCAAGATAAATGAATAAACTTAAAAAAAAAATTTTTTTTTTTTTAACATGTAAGACAGAACAGGGGCGCCTGGGTGGCTAAGTCAGTTAAGCATCCGATTTATGATTTCTGCTCAGGTCCTGATCTCACGGTTCCTTAGTTGAAGACCTGCATGTGGAGCCTACTTGGGATTCTCTCTCACTCCTTCTCTCTCTCTCTCTCTCTCTCTGCCCCTCCTGTGTGTGCTCACTCTCTCTCTCAAAAATAAGTAAACTTTAAAAAATAAAATAAAATAAACTCTAAAAAATAAAACGTAAGGCAAGAATCATTGCTTTTGTATTCAGTAATAGATCTCAGGGGCCAACAGCAATGCCTGGCACATAGTTGGAACTCGGTAAACATTTGCTAAGTGACCACTCACAGCCTGTAGGTTTCTGATTATTAACCCTCATCCACAACAAGCTGACCCAGACATACAATCGAACCCTTTCTTTTAGTTTAGTAAGTGGGGGTGGGGGACAGAAATCCACATACACAAACCACCCATAAATGTGGCTCAGAATTGAAGGCAGAAATGGAGGGAAGTTGGTTACAGCAACACAAATAGCACCCACTTAAACATTAGACATGTCTCTCCACTTTTGAAATGCCCTTTGGCCTCTCCCCAGCAATCTCAATTGGCCTTCAAAGTTTTAAAAAGAAATCCCCACACTCCTAGGAAAAGACTAACAGGTCTATAGCCATGATAACAAGTAAATATCCATAGTTGTAAATCCATTAAGTCACTCAATGGACTGTAGTCCTAGGACAGTCCTCTAGTCATAGTAACAAATAAATACGAAATCTGTTTTTAAATCCTTTTATCAATCATAATTCCCTTTAGGAGATACACTTCTAAAATAACCCGTTGGTGACAGCTCCTAGCTTTGAAAGTCATATAATGGTGGCAAACTCTCCCAGGAACACACTTCTGAGGCTGTGGTCAATCTCGAAACAAACCATCCCCCAAAACCTGATCAATGTAAGATAAGCGAGACTACGCCGGCAGGGCTCTCCCTGATCTCAGATACTGAGTGCTGGTCTCATCCTTCAATGTCCATTATGCCATTCAGTCCTGAGCCTCACCTCTTTCCCCCTGCTCCTCCTTCCTCTATGCTCACCCCTCCACCCTTCTCTTCTCTCCCATCTCATAAGCAAGACAGAATTCACTCAGTCTCTGATGCGATGCACTTTGACCAGTGTTATGCATGGGCTTCTACCAATATTCAAGCAGTTTCCCTTCAGAATAATTAAAGATGCTCTCCTTTTTTTAAAAAAAATTTTTTTTCAACGTTTATTTATTTTTGGGACAGAGAGAGACAGAGCATGAACGGGGGAGGGGCAGAGAGAGAGGGAGACACAGAATCGGAAACAGGCCCCAGGCTCTGAGCCATCAGCCCAGAGCCCGATGCGGGGCTCGAACTCACGGACCGCGAGATCGTGACCTGGCTGAAGTCGGAGGCTCAACCGACTGCGCCACCCAGGCGCCCCAAAGATGCTCTCCTAAACATAGCTCTGTCTCCCCAAAATAATTCTGGTACCAGGGCAAAGTATTTTTGCTTTGTTACACATATCATTCTAAGGGCAATTCTTCTAACTGCTATTTGAAAAGTAAGGAAATGGAGTATCAGTGAGTTTAAACCAAGATCATAGTATCATTAAGAGGAGGAACTATGATCTAAACCCAGACTTTTTAAAATTCAAAATGTGTGTTTTTTCACTACAATATGCTGCCCACCACCATAGGAGCCATATCTTTTCCCTGTAATAATCATAATTGATTGCACAAGCCCTGCTGTTTCTTATTTCCTTCCGTCTACTCATGTCCTGGAATACCCTCCTTACCCTCCTAAATGGCTGTCTTTTTTTAAATTAATTTATTTATTCCAAAGGAGAGAGAGAGATGCAGAGAGAGAGAGATGCAGAGAGAGAGAGAGAGAGAGAGAGAGAGAGAGAGAATCCCAAGCAGGCTCCATGCTGTCAGCACAGAGCCCAACACAGGGCTTGATCCCATGAACTGTGAGATCATAACCTGAGCAGAAATCACCCAGGCACACCCTGCTGCCTTTTTTTTGATTGATTTTTATTTATTCTTTAAAATTCAGCTCCAGGGGTGCCTCGATGGCTGAGTTGGCTAAAGTACCAGCTTCAGCTCAGGTCATGATCTTGTGGTTTGTGACTTCAAGCCCCGCATCAGGCTCTGCACTAACAATGCAGAGCCTGCTTGGGATTCTCTCTCCCTCTCTCTGCCCCTGCCTCTCTCTCTCTCTCTCTCTCTCTCTCAACATAAATAAATAAACTTTACAAAAATAAATAAATAAAATTCAGCTCCAGCATAACCTTCTTCATGAAGCCATCCCCAACACACCTGCTGGCTTAAGTATCTCCTCAGTATTCTCTTAATGTATCTATCATCATGCTACCATACTGCAATGCAATTATCCTTTATGTATATGTCTCCTCCACAAGAAAGTAAGCTTCTTGGGGTGAATGGGTGGCTCAGTCAGTTAAGCGTCCGACTTAGGCTTAGGTCATGATCTTGAGGTTAATGAGTTTGAGCCCCATGTTGCGCTCTGTGCTGACAGCTCAGAGCCTGGAGCCTGCTTCAGATTCTCTGCCTCCCTCTCTCTGCCCTTCCCCCACTCATGCTCTGTCTCTCTCCCTCAAAAATAAACATTAAAAAACATTAAAAGGAAAAAAAGTGAGCTTGTGGAGAACAGACACTGTCTCATTGTTTGTAACCCAGTATCAAACACAATGTTCATTGTAGACTATATATCTAATAATTGTTGAATGGGTTTTGATAAGAGCAATTCAAATATTAATAGCAGTTAAGACTAGTGCTGTCATATTTAATCCCTAGCATCCTTTGGGATGCTTTGGGATTGTATAAACAGAGTGTCACTTTTGCAGAACCCAGCTTAGGGTTTCTTGGCTTGCGGTAGGTGCTAAATGATATTTTTTTCAATTGAATGATCAGAACTGGTGTTACTGCTTCTTTGTGTGTGTGGGGAAAGACATTGGATAGGGAAGCAAGTTACTAAACCTCTGTAAACGTTCTTTTTCCTCATTTGTATAAGCAGTAATAATACACCTCCTTGGAAGGTTAATTTTAATAGCACATGAAAAGTCATTAACACAGCTTGGAACAGAGCAACCATTAAAATCAATGTTCGACTGAATTATGACTTCGAAGAGCTGTGGTCTTTTTTACACATGGGAAAACGCTTTTCTGTAATTCAGATGTAAATGCAATTTTGAATAGAACAAACCCAACCTGTTTCATTTAATTTCACAATGTATCACTTACCTTTCTTCCGAAGGTGAAGATGAACGAATTGACCAGTTATCTAGAGATAAGTGGGAAGTAAAAAAAAAAAAGTCAGGACACCAATAGAAGCAACTCCGGTTGAACAAGTTTTATATTAAAATATGAAATGATATAATATTTACCAAATTTCATGCTTTTCAGGCAACAGTCTTCCTTCTATTTCAAGGGAGACAATAAGATAAATGTTAAAGGAGTAACCCAAATATCAAAGTTAAATTTATAATTTATTCTCATGTGTGATTTTGAAGAACAGGGGAGAAAGAAATCAACCATTTGTTCTTACCTCCTGGGCCCCTGAACTACCTTTTTCTGGAAGTACAGCTTTCTTATGAAAGGATGTATAAATCTTTACGAGTATTATCTCAAAAATAATTCCTAGGAAAATTATAAAAAAGATTGCCATCCAGTCATTTTGAGTCCAGGACTCTACAAGTTCCCACAATGGCAAAAATGTATTATCTTCCAGTCTATTCTGCTCTGCTCTTTTAAAGAAATAAAATTCCGTTGACATTTTTATGTAAAATGTGAAATAGGTTGAGGTCTCATTCTGAAGTCTTCAATTTTGGATGCTCCAAAACACAAAAAGGTGGTATGCCCATCTCATAACCCCATGCAATGCTCTGCCAGAAAAAAATGTCCAGTGCTGCTCAGTGTCTTGATCAAGTGCAGCAGCAGTGATGGGTCTGGGCCTACGCACAGCACGTGTCATAGTGGGTATTCAACTGAGCTCATATCAACTTACCTTAGCAATAGTGAAAGCTCACTAGTGAGACATGTTTGGTGCTTTAGTAGTTTTTTAAATTTAAAAATTGTAAATAATCCTTTATTAATTTCACAAAAAGAAAATATAATTCTATAAACAATCCCTTCGTACATTTGATTACTACCCTGTAATTCAAAAAATGCAGAACAAACTTGAATTAGACATAGCCATTTTCTAGTACCACCAGGAATACTGCATTTTGTGCTTGTGGTTAGGAAAATATGAATGTACTGTTGAGTTAGTAAAAAACAGAACAAAAAAACTAAAGGAAATGCTGCAGTTTGAGTTTCAGACAGATACCAAATCATTTTTTAGTATGTCTCACTGTCACTGGGTGAGATATTATTGTCTGTCTCTTATGGGCCTGCCTGATTTTGTTTTCTTAAGATAGAACATCTCATTTTATACTTCTTTTTGCCAGAGGGGCCTGTTAGCAATGTTCCTCAACAATGTACTGTTACATGCTGAAAACCAAAGGTACATTCTGGAATCGTCTGGTGGTGAATTCCCTTTTTGCCCTATCTCTAGTGATTCCAAAGAACGGCTCCTTGTGAGGCTTCCTGATGTCAGAATTCGCATGTATTTAAGAGCCAGGTTTAACTACTGCTCACTTTCTCTCAAAGTCTAGAAGGCAGACTCAATTTCTCTTGCCTGACAGCAGGCATTCTCTAACTCATTTAATGTGAACTACTGTAAACAGTACTCAATGTCTTAACACTTTATAGTTCCTGAGACCTTGCAGAGCTTTATGGCACTGAATCCCTGATTGGTATGCCTCAGACTAGCTCTGTAAGAACTGACAAGGAACCGCTCATGCTGATGGGGAATGTGCAAGAGGTAAAGAATATCCTCCTTTAGAGCTCTGTCATGTTTGTTCCTATGGGCTTGCCTACTAGGGGCGCCTGGGTGGTTCAGTCAGTTAAGCTTCCGACTCTTGGTTTCAGCTCAGGTCATGATCTCAGGGTTCGTGAATTCGAGCCCTGTGTCGGGCTCTGCACTGATGACACAGAACCTGCTTGGGATTCTCTCTCTCCCTCTCTCTCTGCCCCTTCCCCTACTCACACACTTGCTCTCCAAAATAAACTTAAAAAAAAAAAAAGTCACCTAATTCTGAGTGTAGACACTGATGTCCTTTACACCAGAAACCTCTTCCTGTGTTAATCTCAAGTAAACTGCATAAAAAGTAAAGTGCTAAACTGGATTTATTTCTTAAAATTATGAAGACAATAAAAAAATAAAATAATGAACACCAGAGAAATTCCATCACTAATAGAAATATAGACACAAGAGAACACTCCAAAAAATTCTGTTTAAGTTTTAAAATATCTATTATATGTACCAAGGTCACATTCTTCACACTCTTTGGACATTGTGAAACTAAGCTTTTCCTTTTTAAAAAAAATTTTTTTTTACATTATCTATTTTAGAGAGAGAGAGAGAGACAGAGCACGAGCAGGGGAGGAGCAGAGAGAGAGAGGGAGACACAGAATCTGAAGCAGGCTCCAGGCTCCAAGCTGCCAACACAGAGCCTGACGCGGGGCTTGAACCCACAAACCGTGAGATCATGACCTGAGCTGAAGTGGACACTTAATCGACTGAGCCACCCAGGTGCCCCTAGGCTTTTCCTTTTTTATGTATCAGGAAAAAATCCCAATAATAGGTGTATAAAACAGCAATATAAAACCAGGGACTGCTCATAGTGGTTAGAAATTCTCCCTTTAAAAATATCTTAGTTCAATTACAACAAATATTCAATAATGAATATGTAAGGCACTGAACAACTAAAAAGGGCTCTATGGATACAAAGATCAGTGAAAATCATTCCCTGACATGGGGTATTTGTGATGTGCAAATATGCCAATAATTTACTGAAAAGGCAGCACGTGAACAGAGAGGAAGATACTACTTGAGTTCCAAGGAGGGCTACTTGGTTGGAGTAATTCAAAAAAAAGCTGTGAAGGGGGAAAGAGAATATAAGCATGTTAAAGGATGAGGAGGATTTGATAACAGGTGAGGACCAACAAGAAAGTTTCAGGAAGACGAGGCAGAAAGCCTTGTTCCAAAACTTTGTGTTGTCCAGATTAACCGGAGTGCTGTGCAGGGCTGTGCAGTGTTGTCCAGGTTCATAGTATGGGGGAAATCAGGCTACAATGTTGATAGGGCCTATTGTGAAGAACTTTGAACCAAGGACTTCAACCTTAGTAGTCACTTTTGGAGATTCATCAACATAGTTTTTGACTTGAGTGTGTCAATTGGTTTGTTGAAGCAAGGAGACCACAAAATAGGAAAATCAGTTAGGTGACTGCTGTTATACAGATGAGAACTGGTGAAGGCCTGGATTAAGAGGAATGGCAGCATAAACAAGAGAGATGACAGAATCAGACACTGAAAACTCATGATCTGGCAACGTACTTATAAGGAACAAATGGATCTGGAAGGGGGTAGAAAAGCTAATGGTGAGGGAGAAAGGATTTCAAGATAACCCCCAGGTTCTCCACCTGGAAACCACGGACATTGTGGATCAGATCCTGCTTTGTTACGGCTGGCTGCCATGCACATTAGACTGCTGGCCGCATCCCTTTCCTCCGCCTATCGGATGCCAGTAGTACTGCCACCCCAGCCATAACCACCAAAAGTTCCCCGACGTTGCCAACGTCCCTTAGGGGGCCAGATCACTCCTGGTGGAGAACTACTGGTCTAGGTAGTGGTCGTGCTATTGAGGGTGCCCACCAGAGGCGGTGCCAGGACAGCTCTTTAACCATAATCTCAAACTTTTCCCTGCAAGACATGGCAAATCTGTGAGGAGCAGCTGGGCCCTTTTCACAAATGTTCATTCCAGCCCTAGACATACCATTCATCTCTCTGGGAGCTGTACACTCCCCAGCCCTGCCCTGGTACACAGCTCTCAAATGACAAGCTATTTCACCAATCAGGAAGTTTCTTACAAGTAACTCTCGGAAAAATCAACTTTAAAAGACCATCTACGCCATCTCTATGTTTGATGTAGTATCTTTGGTCACCTATATTATCCCTATAGTTTAATTTGCCAACAAATATGACTACATAGCCTGGTTAGTAACCTTTTAACCTTTTCACTGTCCTTTTTATGTTATGGTCTGCTCTATAGTAAGTTTTCCTTTTTATTTTCCCATTAGTTTTATTTCTGACTTTTAATATTAATATTTCCAATTGATTTGTATTTGTTTGTAGACCATAATTATATTTGTCAGCTCTGGATGTGTTTTATGTGTTTATAATACCTTGATATCAGTAGTGTTTTAAAGTTTCAAATGTTAAGCAATGATTATGTACTATGTACTATTTTTTACAATTTAAGCCTTGTCAGGGGTGCTTAGGTGGTTCAATTGGTTGGTTGAGTGTTTGACTTTGGCTCAGGTCATGATCTTGCAGTTTGTGAGTTCAAGCCCCGCGTCGGGCTCTGTGCTGACAGCTCAGAGCCTGGAGCCTGCTTTGGATTCTGTGTCTCCTCCTCTCTCTGCCCCTCCTCCCATCCTCATGCTCTCTCACTCTCTTTCAATAATAAATGTTAAAAAAAATTTTTTTTTAAGTCTCGTTTAAGAAATTTAGTCAAAAAGTAACTATCATATCCTGAGTGACACTGACATTTTGATTTCATAGTGGTACGTAATTTCACTAATATAAACGATTTGGACACTGTTACCCAGGTTTCTGTTCTTTATGCACTATTGAGAAAAATTAACAAATAATTAAAATCCATGGACCCCACCAGAGAATGAGGGACCTCAAAAGTCAGCAAGCTGTCCAATCCACCTTGAGGCTGTCTGAAGGGCCTAACATTAGAGCAGTAGAGAGGCCAGGAAAAAAAGAGTCAGTATCTTACTATAGAAAAACACCCTTCACTACAAACTTACACATCATCAGCCCCATCACATTTTGTGCCCGTCGTAGGAAACACGGACACTGTGTTTTTAATATATAACTCAACACCATTCCAAGTCCAGTCCAGGTATTGACTGAACTTCCTAAAACAAAATGAAGTGCCCTAAGTCTGCCTAGATTTCAGCACAGACGTTAGTCCTTATTTCATTCTCCTCTTATTCGGAGAGGTCGAGACATCAAGTTCCTCTGTTATAGTTAAGCTCTAAGTATTTACTCATCTTTGCAAACCCAATCAAGCTTTGCCTGTAACAGGCCTTCAGTAAACATTTACTTTTTTAATGTTTATTTATTTTTGAGGGGGAGAGAGAGCGTGGGTGGAGGAGGGGTAGAGAGGGAGACACAGACTCTGAAGCAGGCTCCAGGCTCCGAGCTGCCAGCACAGAGCCCGATGCAGGGCTCAAACTCACAAACTACAAGATCATGACCTGAGCTGAAATCAGACGCTTAACCGACTAAACCACCCAGGTGCTCCCGGTAAACCTTTCTTGAATGAAAGTTGTTACTTCTTTCCAAAAACAATGTTCAGGGTCCCCATATTTGAAAATGTATCTTCCCTCCTATCCCTTAACTGAGACTTAAAAGATTAGGTGAATGAGTGTATACATTCTATAAAACTGACCACACTCAGCACAGTAATGTAATGCTTATTTTCCTTTTTTAAAGACACTGCTCTGCAACATTAGACTACTTTCTCAGTTGCACAGAAAATAAGACAAAAGTTCTAGTGTAACAAAATTCAAATGTTTAATTTTTTTCAAAACTTAACTATATTAATGAAAATAAATTATATGTAGACCACCTTCAGTATTTGTACATCATCTTTATACAACTATAACAGTGCTTTCAAAAGATATTTTGTAGAGAACATTAATTTCACAATTAAAACATGTTTTAAAAATGGGGGAACATTAAATTCATCTGAAATATCTCATAATGCAAGAGGTATGCTGTTCTTTATCAAATGAACTCTATTTGTATCCAAAATAACATGGCTTTTAGCTAAATACAATTATTTCTTGTCCATTTCAGTGATTTCCTGGATCCAAAACAAAATCTGTGTATTTATTTCTTTGAAAACATCATTTGTTGAACGTCCT